TCGGGTGAGTCGCCGGCCGCGCCGGGCTCCTCCGCCGCCCAGGCGCGAGCCCCCTGGACCCGCCGGGCCGTCTGCAGGAACGCGGGGCTCCGGCCGCACCGCTGGGCTCCCGGGGCTGCGTGCGGGGCTGACACTGACAACACCGCGCGCCCCGCCCCCACCGCCTTAAAGGGGCCGCACCCCGCGGGGCGGGGCTTGGGGCGCCGGGCGCTGCCGCTGGGGAGTCAGGCGGGAGGGCGAGGCGGCCGCGGAGGTGGTTCCGGGGTTGAAAATAGGCGGGATCTTGGACCGCCCGCCCCAGCCTGGAACCCGGGTGCTCCTCCTTCCCGAGCTCCCCGCGGAGTAGCTGCGCTCACCTGGGAAGCTGCTCCGCTCTCCCCTCTGCTGCTTCCATTTCGGACGCCTGTGGGGTTAAGGAGGTGACTCCCATGGACAGCGTTTCCCCTCTCCCAGCTCCCCCAGGCTCTGCAGCTCCTTTTTTTCTTTTCTTCTTAAAATATATTTTTATTGATTTTAGAGAGGAAGGGAGAGATAGAAACATCAATGGTGAGAGAGAATCATCCATCGGCTGCTGCCTGCACGCCCCACACTGGGGATCCAGCTTGTGCCCTGACAGGGAATGGAACCCTGACCTCCCGGTTCACAGGTTGATGCTCAGCCACTGAGCCACACGGGCTGGGCGGCTCAGCAGCTTCTTGACTCCCATTTCCTGGCGAAGTTAGGCCCCGGGTCTGTAGGCGCCGAGTGCCCTCCCAGGTAGCAGTGCCTGGTCGAAGTGCAGCTGATACTGACCAGGGAGAGAGCAGAACCCGAACCTGGTCCCTGGTCGAGGTTGGGCTAGAACATGGAACATTATCCCCCCTGCCATTCCCACCCCGCTTCGCCTTGGAGCGAGGACACAGGAGCACCCTACTAACCTCCCTGCTGCTGGGGCTTGTTCAGGTGCTATTTCCTGAGCCTGGGGCTGCTTGCTTTTTAAAAAATAATATATTTCCATGGTAACAGCTCCTGCCTAAGGAGCATGTGTAGAGGGGGTGGTAACGAGCAGGGAGCTGGTGGTAGCACTGGCCTATCAGTAGATTCAGCTAGAGGACCCTGCCCTCCAAGTATCTAATATCCCATTAAGCACCCCAGAATTGTGTTATAGGTACACCTTTCCTAGATTTAAGGGAGTGCATTCCATTTCTATAGGACAGGAGCTTGTCATTGCTTTCTGGAGGAAGGGGAAGGAAAATCCTACAAAAGGATTCAAAGAATCTCCTTCCCCAAGAGGCCCTTCTCCACATGCACATCGCAAGGACTTTGGCACCCAGTGCCTTCCTTAGAAGCTCAACAGCGAAAGTATTAAATCTCTCTCTTCCAAACCCAGTTGGTCGTCTGAGTGCCTGGAAGCAAGCAATGCTTTAAAAATGTGTGTGTGTGTGTGTGTGTGTGTGTGTGTGTGTGTTTATCATGTTTTAGAGAGAGGAAGGGAAAGGGAGAGAGAGATAGAAACACTGATGAGAGAGAAACATCATTGATCTGCTGCCTTCTGCACGCCCTCCTTGGGAATCAAGCCCATAACTTGGGCATGTGCCCGGAGGGGAATCAAACCGTGATCTCTTGGTTCCTGGGTCCACGCTCAGCCAGGCTAAGCAACTTCTTTAAAGTAGAGACTTGCAGAGCGAGATAGAAGCTGGCAGGTCAGCACCAAGGTGCCTGAGCCAGAGGAGGTGGTGGGTGGTGGGGAGTGGGGGCACCCCTGGGGTTTCACTGCTCCCTTGCTGTGGCCCTGCCCATGCATCATCATTGAACACCAAAAGCAACGGCAGATTCCCACAGTGTGGGTTTCCAATCTTGAGGGGAGGAGCTGACATGAGATGAAAGGAGGAGACTCAGGGCAGAACCTGGGGCGCAGGAGGAAGCTGCCGGTGGGCAGAGCAGCCAGGCTAGGGGAGCAGGTTCCACGTGCCAAGTTTCACCCTGAGGACCCTCTTCCCCCAAGAACCCTTCTTCAGGAGCCTCGGACCTCCCAGGGGCCTCGCTTCCCTGAGATCTTGGATTTACTGCCTCAACTCTTCCCGAGCCCTTGCTCCTCTGCTGCCAGATGCTGCTTCGCAACTCAGTCTCCGCCAGTCTCCCTAGCCAGTGCTGCCACGCTTCCTTTCTGTTGTGGCTTAGACCTGCAGCACTCATTTCATTCTGCCTTATGTCTAGCTGGCTGTTTATATGTCTGCTTCTCCCATGCACCCAGAAGCTGCTTAAGAGTAGAGCCCTGCCCTCACTGGTTTGGCTCAGTGGATAGAGCCTCGGCCTGTGGACTGAAGGGTCCTGGGTTTGATTCCATCAAGGGCATGTGCCTTGGTTGCGGGCACATCCCCAGTAAGGAATGTGCAGGAGGCAGCAGATCCATGTTTCTCTCTCATCCCTCTCCCTTCCTATCTGTAAAAAATAAAAAAAATAAAAAAATAAAAAAGAGTAGAGCCCTGCCCTCGCTGGTTTGGCTCAGTGGACAGGGTGTCAGTCTGTGGACTGAAGGGTCCCAGGTTCAATTCCAGTCAAGAGCACATGCCCGGATTGCTGGCTCGATTTCCAGTGTGGGGCGTGCAGGAGACAACCGATCAATGATTCTTTCTCTTCGTTGATGTTTCTATCTCTCTCCCTCCCCCTTCCTCTCTGAAATTAATAAAAATATATTTAAAAAGCCCTGGCTGGTTTAGCTCAGTGGATAGAGCGTCGGCCTGCAGACTGAAGGGTCCCGGGTTCGATTCCAGTCGGGGGCATGTACCTTGGTTGCAGGCACATCCCCAGTAGGGGGTGTGCAGAAGGCAGCTGATCAATGTTTCTCTCTCATCGATGTTTCTGACTCTCTATCCCTCTCCCTTCTTCTCTGTAAAAAAATCAATAAAATATATTTAAATATATATATATATTTTTTAAAAAGAGTAGAGCCCTGTTTTACTCTTCTCTCTTCCCTCATATTCAACCAAGTTGCTTTCCGATGCTGAAGTAAACTCCTTGAGGGAAAAAAGCTGTGCTTATATTACTTTGTGTCCCTACAGTACTTAAGAGTTTTCCATTCACATAGTAGAGATTAGTCAATTCTTTGTAATTTTTAGAAGTCTAACAAAAAATATTCCAGTATACATGTAATCACTGAAAATTTCTACACTGTTTCCATCTTTTGAAAATTCATTCATGTCATCCTAGTGGAATGGGAGATCTGTTACCTTTTAGGTAACAGTTTTTGAAAAACTGATGGGGTGGGGGAGCAGGAAGAAAAGCAAGAACAGTAACTCAGCTGCCTGGAAAGAGCCATAGGTTTGGTCCTGCCACTGTCCTCGCCCCAGACTCTCCCAAGCTGTCTCGTGGCCTTTTCGGCGCCGTGGGACATTTTGGGGACAAGCTGTGAGGCAATCAGACTTAATAGTACATTGGCCTTGTTTCCTGGGAGGCACTCAGGACTCCCTAGCAGCAGATATTCTTCTCAGGCATTGTCTGCTCAGCGCAGGAAACCAGCTGAAGCGTTGACAGCTCCCCTATCTGAGGCCTGGGGTGAGCTCAGCTCTCACGCAAATGCTCTGAACTCTTGCCAGGAAAGGCATGACATTTTAAGTGTGGCCAAACGATGTGTTTGTTTCTTCTCATTAGTCTGATAATCAACTGGGCATTTACCATCTCGGGAACAAAAATATTCAGATTATATGACAAGTATTCACGTAACTATGTTCTGATGGGAACGTGTGTCCTGGGCGATGAATCCCTAGTGTCTTGTCTTTGAACGTCTCTCCACCCTCTTCCAGTCGGGAGGAACCGGAAGCCGCAGCCTTCCCACCTGCTCCCGCCTGGTCCTTTCCCTGTTTGGAAGATCTTCCAATCTTGCCACTCACTGAAATCTTTGGAGATGCTATTCTTCCTCAAGGTCCTATCGCCTCCCTTGATGACACTCAATGTGCTCCTATTGCCTGTGCCTCTTTCAGACCCAGGCTCATTATGCGTAATGATGCCTTACATGATGCCTGTGTATCCTTAGTCCTGTGGGTCAGAAAACTCTAGGGCAGTGGTTCTCAACCTTCCTAATGCCGTGACCCTTTAATACAGTTCCTCATGTTGTGGTGACCCCCAACCATAAAATTATGTTTGTTGCTACTTCATAACTGTCATTTTGCTACTGCTATGAATTGTAATGTAAATATCTGATATGCAGGATGTATTTTCATTGTTCGCAACCCATAGGTTGAGAACTGCTGCTCTAGGGAGTTTCCAGTCAGGCACAGATGCACGTGCATGTATATGTGCGCGCGCGCACACACACACACACACACACACACACAGAACAACAATACCAGTCGGATAATAAGTACTGAAAATTTGATGAAATTCTATCACCTAAATTACCAGGATTACTTCATGTCTATAAAGTGTACTTTATAAATAGATGGTTTTTCATAGTTAATTAGAGCCACCTTCAAGTAGAAGAGACATTTCACAACGGGTTTTGAGAGACGGCCAAAAAAAGTCAACCTGACCCTTATTCCTCAAGCAGGTCACATTCCAAAGAATGGACAAAGGGCCGGGATACTTGAGTCGTCTTTCCAAACTCCCTGGAGGTGATTTCCTCTCGAGGAATAGAAGTCATTTGTCACCTAAGAGCCTGTGAGTGGATGAAAGAGAATGAAGATGCTGGTGGTAAACTGTTATTTGCAAGGAAACAGGTGTCAAGCCAAAGGCACAGGAACCTGGAGGGAGGAACCAGAGTTCCCAGGAAGCCACGTGTGCGTCTGGCTCTCCTGCTTCCTTAGCTCTTCCCAATGCTTTAGCCTCACCTCCTAGGTTTAGCAGCTTGGCACAAGGCAGCGATCCCGCCAGGACCAGGAAAAAGTCGAGCCCAGCGCGGGGCTCAACGTTGAGCATTGAGCTATGAACCAGGTCACGGTTCGATTCCGATTAAGGGAACGTGCCCCGGTTGCAGGCTCCATCCTCAGGGTGGGGTGTGCTGGAGGCAGCTGATCAATGATTCTCATCATTGATGTTTCTCTCCCTCTCCCTTTCCTTTCCTCTCTGAAATAAATTAAAATTACATATATATATATATATATATATATATGAAAAAGAAATCAACAACCGGGTTAAATCCCAGACTCGAGGGCACTCCCAGCCCCTTCAGTGGGGAAGTGCTGGTTGCAGCTACCAAGGGGGGGGGGGGGTAGGATGGGCGGGATGTTTAGGAAAAGAGCAAGGGGAGGGCAAGAGAAACACTGGCCAGGAGGGGCGTTTAGAGTGCCTGTGCTTTAGGATTTACATCGTCTCCCAAACTGTAGCTGCGTTTCCGGGAACTGAGTTGTATTGACCTTGGCTTCCGACTACCCTGCGTCCTGGAGCGGTCCTCCCCGAGTCGACGCGGGGCACTGGCCCTTTAAACGTGAGCGGCGGAGGCCCAGGAGGTCAGACTGACGTGGAACTCGGAGTGAGTGGCGTCAGACACGTGGTCGAGGGGTCGCTGGTCTTGCTTCCGGGCCAGGAGCTTCCGCTCTGGGTTGTGCATCTTTCATAGGATAGGAAAGTGTCTGCTTCGGCCTTTCGCTGCTTTTCCAGTCCCCACGTGATGACTCCATCCTCGAATAAAGGACAGAGTTTAAAGTAACTGCCCACTCTTCTGCCCATAGTCAAGATGGCCGCCTCCGCCTCAGCAGCTGAGGTTGCCCTGCGAACCAGATCCGTCCGGGCGGAATAATGGAAGTCGTTTAAAATAATTCTGTCCCCGCGCTCCTGCCCACATTAAAAACGGCCGCCTCCGCCTTCAGCAGCCGAGGTTGTTCCGCGAATCCGATTCTTCCGGGCGGAACCAGCGGAGAGAACTGCCGTGGGCGGAGCTGAGTTGCGGAGGCTCCGAGTCCGGGGCGGTTCGAGTCCGGGGGTCGCGTGTGCTCGGGACGGAGCGGGGCGGGGCGGGCCGGGCGGCCACCATGCGGGCCTTCCCGGAGCTGCCGACGCCGTTGCTGGTGAACTTGATGGGCTCGCTGCTGGGGTTTGCGGCCACCGTCACCCTCATCCCAGCCTTTCGCGGCCACTTCATCGCCGCGCGCCTCTGTGGAAAGGACCTCAACAAGCCGGGCCAGGAGCCGATGTGAGCGGCGCCCCGGGCCCGGGCGGGGGGCGGGCTGGGAAGGGGTGTCCGACCGAGAACGGGACGCAGCGCCCACACCGCGGACAGCTGCCCGGAGGGGAGGGCAGCCTGGCCCGCACTGGGCCAGGGGGAGGGCGGCTCCAGCAGCGACACCCCCCCAGTGCGTTACCCTAGCGCCGGCCCCAGGGAGTGACCGCGCCCCTCTTTCCCCTCCACCCCCCTTGCTGCCGGGCCACAGCCCCGAGTCGCAGGGAGTGATCAGCGGGGCCGTGTTCCTCATCATCCTCTTCTGCTTCATCCCCTTCCCTTTCCTGACCTGCTTTGTGGAGGAGCAGTGCAAAGCCTTCCCCCACCATGAAGTAAGTGGGCTGGCGGGCGGGGCGGGGCGGGCGTCCCCCGAGATTTGGGGAGATTTGGGGTATTTGGTTTGGGGAGAGGGGCTGTGTCTCCTTGAATGAAGTCGGGGTCGGGTGGAGCCGTGACTCGCCCGGCCTCCCCCAGTTTGTGGCCCTGATAGGCGCGCTCCTGGCCATCTGCTGCATGATTTTCCTGGGCTTCGCGGACGATGTCCTGAACCTGCGCTGGCGCCATAAGCTGCTGCTGCCCACGGCCGCCTCGCTCCTCTCCTCATGGTCTACTTCACCAACTTTGGCAACACGACCATTGTGGTACCCAAGCCCTTCCGTCCGATTCTGGGCCTGCATTTGGACTTGGGTGAGTAGCCCTGCGACGACTGCTCCTATGTCCCCTCCTTCAGGGCACCCTGACCCCGGAAGACGCCTCCTCCGTGCCCCTGCTCTGGCTGTCTTCTCAGATCCTCTCTGTTGGCCCTTCATCCTGTCCTCGCCACTTTTTCCAGAAGAATATCCTTAAATCCTCATTCTATACTTTTATTGTTGTTGTTAATCCTCACCTGAGGACATTTTTCCATTGATTTTAGAGAGAGTGGGAAAGGGAAAGACAGAAATATCGATGTGAGAGAAACACATCGATTGGTTGCCTCCTGCTCGTGCCTGACCAGGGCGGGGGCCAGGGAGGAGCCTGCAACTGAGGCCTGTACCCTTGACTGGAATAGAACCCGGGACCCATCAGTCCACAGGCCTATGCTCTATCCATGAACTGGCTAGGGCCTCATTCTATACTTGGTACCACTTTTCTCCCTGTCCTGTCCCCCAGGGATCCTGTACTATGTCTACATGGGGCTGCTGGCAGTGTTCTGCACCAACGCCATCAACATCCTCGCAGGGATCAATGGCCTAGAGGCTGGCCAGTCACTAGTCATTTCTGCTTCCATCATCATCTTCAACCTGGTGGAGCTGGAAGGTAGGTGGGACTGGGGAAGAGTGAGAGAAGACTGAGTGTTAAGAGAATTAGTTGCGTGATATCTGGCTTTGGGGAATTTGGGGAAAAAGCAATATGTTAATAATTATAAAATATAAGAGCTCTGGTTGGTTAGCTCAGTTGATTAGAGCATTGTCCCCATAAGCCAAGGTTGTGGGTTTGATTCCCAGGACACATACAAAAATCAACCACTGAATGCATAAATCAGTGGTACAACAAATCAATATTTCTCTCCCTCTCTCTAAAAATCAATAAAAATATGCCCAGTCAGTATGGCTCAGTGGTTGAGCATTGACCCATGAACCAGTTCACAGTTCGATTCTGGTCAAGGGCATATGCCTGGGTTATGGGCTCAATCCCCAGTGGGAGGTGTGCAGTAGGCAGCCAATCAATGATTCTTTGTCATCATTGATGTTTCTATTTCTCTCTCTCCCCTTCCTCTCTGAAATCAATAAAAATATAATAAATAAATACAGAAGATAAGGGAAGGTAATTTATTTTGCAAATAACTAGATTTATTAAATGTGAGAAAAATAGCAGCCTTGTCATTTATAGCTAGATTGGCACTAATAGATGGGCTGTGGTCTTCTCTTACTGAACATAAACAACTTCACAGAACCTCCAAGTCACTCTGTGACCATGAGAGAGTAAGACAAAAACCAGACCCCTCCATAACTATGTGTGAGCATAGACAAAACCATAAGAACACTGTGACCCCACCACAATGACCAAGACCCCCGCTTTTGGCTAACATGCGTGATTGCTGCTTCCTTCTAACTCAGCTCCTTCCACTTCGATAAAAGCTAAGATGCTCATAGAATTACTCCTACTGACGGCACCCAGACCAGTGCAAAACTCTGCCTCCTTGCATCTTCCTCAGAATTATTTCCTGCAAACCAAACAGTCACGGGATTGATTCTCAGTCAAAGGCACATACCTGGGTTGCAGGTTCGATCCCCAGCCCCTGTGGGGTGTGTGCAGGAAGCAACCAATTGATGTGCCTCTCTCACATTGATGTTTCTCTCTCTTTTTCCCCTCCACCCTCCCTTCCACTCTCTAAAAAAATCAATGGAAAAAATATCCTCAGGTGAGGATTAAAACAAAAAAGCTAAGCACTTTTAAAACATTTAAACTTGCCAAAACCGGTTTGGCTCAGTGGATAGAGCGTCGGCCTGCGAACTGAAAGGTCCCAGGTTCGATTCCGGTCAAGGGCATGTACCTGGGTTGTGGGCACATCCCCAGTGGGGGATGTGCCAGGAGGCAGCTGATCGATGTTTCTCTCTCATCGATGTTTCTAACTCTCTATCTCTCTCCCTTCCTCTCTGTAAAAAATCAATAAAATATATTTAAAAAAAAAAAACATTTAAACTTTGTAACAGCTCTGTGTGACAGGTGTTATTAACTGTATTTTACAGATGAGGAAACTGAGGCTTCGAGAAGTTAAATTTGTCATGACCAAGGTTACACAGTTAGGAGTAAAGCTTGTATTCAAACCTAGGTGTGAACGGTCTAAATCAATTTAAGGCAATAACTAGTTTAGAAAGGGCTCATGAAAGAGCTGGAATGTTGAAAATTGCCCTGGTGACATAAAAGGAGTAGTGAGTTCTTTTTTTTTAAATTGATTTCAGTGAGAGAAATGGAGAGGGAGAGAGAGATAGAAACATCAATGATGAGACAGAATCATCAATTGGCTGCCTCCTGCATGCCCCCCACTGGAGATCGAGCCTGTACCCCCAGCTCATGTCTTGACAGGAATCGAACCGTGACCTCCTGGTTCATAGGTCTTTAACCCCCGAGCCACACTGGCCGGGCAGTAGTGAGTTCTTGAATGTGACTTGGGAGAGGTAGACAATAAAGCTTGAGACAGAACTTAGAAACAGACAGAAATGGTATGCGGAGGAGGCTCTCACTTTTCCCTCTTTTCTCCCTGCTTCTAAAGGTGATTGTCGAGATGACCATGTCTTCTCCCTCTACTTCATGATGCCCTTTTTTTCCACCACCTTGGGGTTGCTCTATCACAACTGGTAAGTAGGCCTGTAGATGGGGGCCAACTGTTTTAACATGTGGCAAGTATGGCCCTGATCACGACCCATCTCGTAATGGAGAGGCGAAGTCTGTGCACACCTGTATTGTTTTCTGGGTCTTCAGTTGGTCGTATTCTTAATTGCTCTCTAACCGGCAGTGGCTGGGTCCAAGTGCTGTGGAGCCACAGGAATAGATGAGTTCAGGGCCTTGGGTCTGGAGAGTTGCTGGGAGAGCTGGAGTCTGAGTCAGACCTGGGGTCAGGGCTAGTCCAGGGCCCAGAGTGAGAGGAAAGATTGATAATGCCTTTTGCCACTGGCTCAGATCCTCTCCCCACACAGGTACCCATCACGGGTGTTTGTGGGAGATACCTTCTGCTACTTCGCTGGCATGACCTTTGCCGTGGTGGGCATCTTGGGACACTTCAGCAAGACCATGCTACTCTTCTTCATGCCCCAGGTGTTCAACTTTCTCTACTCCCTGCCTCAGCTCCTGCATATCATCCCCTGCCCTCGCCACCGTGTGCCCAGGTAGTTGCTTTGGGGCTTGAAAGGGACATCATGGCCTTTTCGCTTGGGATGCATAAAACCAGCCTTAGACATTTGCTGTGTAAAGGCAGTGGGCCCAAAGAAGGGCTGACTGTCCCCCGTGGTTAGCATTTTATAAATGACAGAGCACACTTACTACGTAATCTCATTTAATGATCACAGCAGCTCTGATCACGTATAGTAAGCAGCAGAGCCAGAAAGATCTGCACATTCAGGACTCATCCTATTAAATAACCACACTCTCAGTAAGGCCCAGTTACATAAAGCTCTCTTCCCCTGCAGACTTAATACCAACACAGGCAAACTGGAGATGAGCTATTCCAAGTTCAAGACCAAGAGCCTGTCTTTCTTGGGCACCTTTATTCTAAAGGTAACAGGGGCCCTGGCTGGTGTGGCTCAGTTGGTTGAGTGCCATCCTGTGCACCTAAGGTCGCCAGTTTGATTCCAGGTCAGGGCATATGCCCAGGTTGTGGTTTTGATCTCCAGTTGGGGTTTGCAAAAGGCAGCTGATCGATGTTTCTCTTTCCTCTCCCTCCTCTCTCTCTAAAATAAATTTTAAAAAACCCACACACATGCCCTAGCCAGTTTGGCTCAGTGGATAGAGCATCGGCCTGCGGACCAAAGGTCCCGGGTTTGATTCCAGTCAAGGGCACAAACCTCAGTTTCAGGCTCCTCCCCAGCCCAGGCCCTGGTCTGGGCACACGCAGGAGGCAGTCAATCGATGTGTCTCTCTCACATTGATGTTTCTCTCTCACATTGATGTTTCTGTCTTTCCTTCTCTCTTCTACTCTCTCTTAACATCAATTGGGAAAAAAAAACCCCAAAACCCACACACATAATTAAAGGTAACAGGAACGAGGAGGTAAGGCTTTAGGCCACCATCCTGAATCCAGGGAGTGGGGAACCCAGGCCTGCATTCGACCCCAGGGGAGTTGGAAGCACTAAGCAGGTCCCCATTCGATAAGCATAGGTATTAGCTGAGTTCTCTCCACCTCGGCCCTTCCAGGTAGCAGAGAGTCTGCAGCTGGTGACAGTGCGCCAGAGTGAGGATGAGGATGGTGCCTTCACTGAGTGTAACAACATGACCCTCATCAACCTGCTCCTTAAAGTCTTTGGGCCCATGCATGAGAGGAACCTCACCCTGCTGCTGCTGCTGCTACAGGTGTGGCTGGGGACGGGGCTCGCACCTCCTTGCCTCCCTTTCCATGGTTCTCATTGCAGCTCACTGTTCCTTGCAGGTCCTGGGCAGTGCTGTCACCTTCTCCATTCGGTACCAGCTTGTCCGGCTCTTCTATGATGTCTGAGCTCCCTGATCATTGCCTTCACTTCACAGTCTCCAGGGCTCCCGACTCAGGCCAACCTCGTTCTAGACCAAGACTGCCTCTCAGCCCAGGCCCCTCCCACCCCTCCTCCTCCCCAGCCTTTCCTTTCCCCTGTGATAATTGACATGCTGGGCAGTGACTATTGATTGGACTTTGCCTGTAGTTTCTTCAACTTGCCACAGCCCCTTGAGGGGGGGACATGTGGCTGTTCGGTTTCCACAGCTCCGACCTTCAAGGAATAGGCTGGGCCTGGGGCAGAGCCCTGGCTCCTGATAGGGACACGGGCTCGGAGAAGACTTCACATTAGACTATAAATTAAGGGTTCTAATTAGTAAAAGAAGATGGGGGTGCAGGTGCTCCCAGTGGTAACAATAAAGCGATGTTTTTTTTCTTGTCCCTCCAAGTGTGTTTCCTCCTGGGTATCCTAGGGTAGATTGGGAGGGTTGGTGGAGGCCCTTCCTCCAAGAAGATGCCTATCTCTCTGCCCTATCCGCCGCCCCCCACCCACTTCGCCCCCCAGTTCCCCAGGCCCCTTCTAGCAAGACTGTGAGCAGAGCCCTAGCTGGTTTGCTCAGTGGACAGAGCGTGGGCCTGCGGACTGAAGGGTCCCAGGTTCGATTCCGGCCAAGGGCACATGCTGGGTTGTGGGCTGGATCCCCAGTAGGGGGCGTGCAGGAGGCAGCCGATCAATGATTCTCTCTCATCGTTGTTTCTATCTATCCCTCTCTAAAATCAATAAAAATATATATATAAAAAAAAAGACTGCCCTAACTGGTTTGGCTCAGTGGATAGAGCGTCAGCCTGCGGACTCAAGGGTCCAGGTTCGATTCCGGTCAAGGGCATGTATCTTGGTTGCGGGCACATCCCCAGTAGGGAGTGTGCAGGAGGCAGCTCATCTGTTTCTGGCTCTCTATCCCTCTCCCTTCCTCTCTGTAAAAAGTCAATAAAATATATTTTAAAAAAAGAAAAAAGACTGAGCAGAAAGAACTGAGACCCACAGAGCCTGTTTAATAAATATTGAAATCCTGATATTTCAGGTAGCAGGAAGGGCCATAGACTGGAGTAATCTGCTCTCCGGTGTGGGACCGGAACTTCCACAGGCTCTCATTTCTTTTTTACTCCCTTCGCTGTATGGGAGGGAGAAGGGAGTGACCAGACCGGAAGGGGTGGCCGGGGACTTGGAGAGCGCACCCTTTTAAAAGGCCCAGCTCCACACACTTTCCCGTGGTTCTCCAGGCAGATTCAGACTCCACCCTCTTTGGCTTCCGGTTTGGGTCGCCGGCGTAGCGTTTGAATCTCGCGCGCTCCCCGCGGATTGGCTGCGGGAGGGAGCGGGGCTGGCTGCGCGCTGTGCTCCTCGCCGTTTTCCCCGGGCAAAAGGTTTTCAAATTCGACCAATCGGCTGTCGCGCTCCCTCAGCCAAGACGGGTCACCAAGGCTTAACTGCAACCAACCAGAGACGCTATTAGAGAAAAGAGCCAATCAGCAGGGCGCGGAGGCGGGCCCTGGAGGCTTATAAGGGCGGCCCCCCCGAGCGCGCGGCAGCATTTGGACTGCGTCGGCAGCTTCCTTTCGGTACCTGCTCACCGCTTCTCCTCACCGCTTCTTCTCACCGCTCCCGCTCCTCCGCCTCGCGCAGCATGTCGGGCCGCGGTAAGACCGGCGGCAAGGCCCGCGCCAAGGCTAAGTCACGGTCGTCGCGCGCCGGCCTGCAGTTCCCCGTGGGCCGCGTCCACCGGCTGCTCCGCAAGGGCCACTACGCCGAGCGGGTCGGGGCGGGCGCGCCCGTGTACCTGGCGGCGGTGCTGGAGTACCTGACGGCCGAGATCCTGGAGCTGGCGGGCAACGCGGCCCGCGACAACAAGAAGACGCGCATCATCCCGCGCCACCTGCAGCTGGCCATCCGCAACGACGAGGAGCTCAACAAGCTGCTGGGCGGCGTGACCATCGCGCAGGGCGGCGTGCTGCCCAACATCCAGGCCGTGCTGCTGCCCAAGAAGACGAGCGCGGCCGTGGGCCCCAAGGCGCCGGCGGGCAAGAAGGCCACGCAGGCCTCCCAGGAGTACTGAGGCCGCCGCCGCCCCGCCACCACAAAGGCCCTTTTAAGGGCCACCACCGCCTCGCGGAAAGAGCTGAGCCGCAGTCGCCCCCGCCCCGCCGCCCTCCCCGCTCCCCGGCGCTGACCCGGCCGCCCTGCCCTTGGAGCGGCCGATGGGCCGCGGCCCTGACGCAGCGCCGACCGCGGCCTGGGAGGTGCGCGCTTCGGGCGCCGCCTCGGCCTGGGCTGTGGACTCCTCCCGGCTCTGCCGGCGGAGACTCGGACCCTGACCTGTGCGCGGCCGTCCCCTCTGCTGCCAGGTCCCAGGCCTTTCCCACCCGCTCCCCATCGACCTCCTGGGCCCGTGCGGGGCTGTCCGGACCTGGCGCGGGCGGGCCAGGCCTCACCGCTCGTCCCGCGACAGCCACCAGCACTGTGCGGGGACCCCACCCGGGCCCAGCCTCGTTGGTTTCCGAACTGGAATTCAGCAGCTAACCCACCCAAGAGCAGGTACTTGGAAGTTTCAGATGGACAGATTTTGTTTATTAAAGGATTTTTTAAGAAATGTATCCTGTTTTCATTTTGCCCCGCAGCCGTGTAGGATTGATGACTTTAGGTCCCTCTGTTCTCTGGGGGGACTGTGGGGGAGGGGAGACGCTGTTATAAGACTGGTTAATAGGAGAGCAAATAGGACTTTAAGATTATAGCTTCTTTAATGTCCCTGGGAGACAATTTGCTGTGGGAGGTGAAATGAGAACGATGGAGGCAGAAACAAGGAGGTTCCAGACGCGCTCTGGGCAGTTCCCAGCCTCTGAAGGAGTAAAGGGTTTTGTTTGTCCTCTTCCCTGCAAGCCCACCAAAACAAAGGCACCTTCAGAGCTGGTTTATTAGCAGAGTTGATTACATTTCAAAGGCTTGGGCTCTAAAGAGATGAGGCCCCACCTACTGAGCAGGCAAGGCCATCCCTGGAAGTCTGACTGCAGTTCAGGCCCCTGAGGCCTAGGGTGCCAGCCTGGGCGGCAGCAGCCCACCACAGACCAGTCAGTGGGCATCATTAAGCTGCCGTGCGACGTCCAAGATGTTCTTGGCTCCTTTGTTCAGCAACAAGTTGGCCAGGCTGGTGCCCAGGTTCTCAGCAGCCAGCTGGGCTGCTCGTGGAATGTTCTGGGCAGTGATGCCCACCAACTGTGGGTCATCTTCAGGGCCATCTTCATGCTGGGTGAGGGAAGAACGTAGGGTTTGGTGAGCACTCAAGGGGAAGATGAGGCAGCTTGTTTCTTACCCTTCCCTCACTCTCGCCTTGGCACCTGGGCAGGGATGTGGATGGTGGCCTGCATGGTCTCTTGCATGCTCTCTGAGCCATCCAGACTCCAGACTCCTCCAGTCAGGTACAGCTGGGAAAGAAAACAGGTGCCTTAGTATGTCCCGAGAGGAAACCACTTGGAATCCAGAGCTCTTGCTGGCAACGTGGGATGCACAGGGAGAAATGCCAGTCCTTCCCTACCCTCCCACCCACTTCCCTGCTTACTTGTCCATCCTGAATAGCTGTGTGCACTGCTACAGGTACGCTGCAGCCTCCTTCCTGCAGGAAGAAGGTCTCCCCGTGAACCCCAAAGACCCTTAACTACCCTGTGCCCAGAGTCCAGAAATTCATAGGCCTGTGAGGACACCACTGAAAAGGAGGCTAAGGGCCCAGACCTGGGTCCTCTTCATACACAACATTCAAGAATAAGTTACCAGCCCTAACCGGTGTGGCTCAGTGGATAGAGCGTTGGCCTGCGGACTGAAGGGTCCCAGGTTCGATTCCGGTCAAGGGCATGTATCTTGGTTGCGGGCACATCCCCAGGAGGGGGTGTGCAGGAGGCAGCTGATCGATGTTTCTCTCTCATTGATGTTTCTGACTCTCTATCCCTCTCCCTCTCTGTAAAAAAAAATCAATAAAATATATTTTAAAAAAAAGAAAATAAGTTACCATTAAATACAGAGCATCAATGTGACAGTCTCCCCACCACCCTTCCCAACTCCTGTTCAACCACAGGTGGAACACAGGCCCTACCAGGTGCTTTAGGAAGGCTCGTTCGGCAATGCAGCAAAGCAGGGTCTCAGGATGGTGCAACATGCCCACCAGGTCTAAGATGTCCTGGTCCTTGGCTCGCACTTCCACGCCCAGGGCCCCCTGATGGAAGAACGGCCTAAGACAGCGGTTCTCAACCTTCCTAATACCGCGACCCTTTAATACAGTTCCTCATGTTGTGGTGACCCCCAACCATAAAATTATTTTCGTTGCTACTTCATAACTGTAATTTTGCTACTGTTATGAATCGTCATGTAAATATCTGATATGCAGGATGTATTTTCATTGTTACAAACTGAACATAATTAAAGCATAGTGATTAATCACAAAAACAATATGTAATTATATATGTGTTTTCCGATGGTCTTAGGCGACCCCTGTGAAAGGGTCGTTTGACCCCCAAAGGGGTCGCGACCCACAGGTTGAGAACCGCTGGCCTAAGACATCAGACCCAATCTTTTCCCGACCAATGGAGCTAAGGGTGGGAACCAGCCCACCTTCAACTGCTCCCCAAGGCCCTTTGCTCGAGTAGCCTTCCAAGGCCTGCCCCTCCCTGGGAACTTTGATGCACATGGTTGTACAACCAGCTCCTTGGGCAAGCATACCTGACCCACAGCGTACATGCATTCCTCGGGGTGCAGGATCTGTGGGGGCAGAACAGGCAAAAGTATAGAGACAGAGTGACATACTGCAGTGAGCGGGGGCTCCCTATCAGACAGAAAGCCTGGACAGGCAAAGGAGGGAGTCAGCCTCTGATTCCCAATCTTCCCTGAAACTTCTTTCCAGCTTAGTGTTAGAGGCAGGGTGTTCAAAAAGAACATTAGCTACCACTAAATACAGGCAGGGGGTAAAGATGAACTGGGAGGGGAAGGGGATGGCCCCCACCTGCCCCACGCGGTTCTGCCAGCCCATGCGCTGCAGGCCCGCTGCGGCCAAGATGATGGCACTGAACTCCTGCAGCTCGTCCAGCTTCTGAAGCCGAGTGTTGAGGTTTCCCCGCTGAGGAGAGATGCTAAGGACATGTGCATTGTTCTCTGCCTGAAACTTTCTAGCTGCCTAACTTTTTAAAAATTAAATCTTTATTGTTGAAAGTATTACATATGTCCCCCGTATTCCCCCCATTGACCCCTTCTAGGCCTCCCCCCCATCCCCGGGCCTTCACCACACTATTGTCTGTGTCTGTGGGTTATGCATATATGCATACAAGGTCTTTGGCTGATCTCTTCCCACCCCCACCTTCCCTCAGATTCCACAGTCTGTTCCATGCTCCTATGTCTCTGGATCTATTTTGTTCATCAGTTTACTTTGTTCATTAGATTCCACATATGAGTGAGATCATGTGACACTTGTCTTTCTCTGATTGGCTTATTTTGTTTTCTAGCTGGCCAACTTCTCATCTTTTGGTTCTCAGCTTAATGGAAGCAGCTAACACTTAACTCATATTATATGCCAGATACTATTCTAAAATGCTATGTACATATGCCAATTCATTTAGTTTTCACAGAAACTCTATGAGGAAGGTTTTATTAGTATCTACATTTTACAGATGAGGAAAATGATACGTCAAATAAATTAAATTGCCCAAGATTACAAAGATCTCTCAGAAGCCTTCCTTGCCCCCAAAATCTGTGTTTAGATGTTCCAGTTAGAAGCTTCCAGAGAATTCCCTACTTTGCACATTAGAGCACTTATCACATACCATTTTAGTTTTATAAAACATACTACATATTCATTGTAAAAATCAAAACAATACAGAACATAAAAATGGAAGTGCTCAGCCCTTCCCCATCTCCCCCCTCCCCCCTCAGTAATCACTGTTCAGCATCACTGTTTTATCAATGCCCGTTTGTCTCCCCAACCAAACTGTAAATTCTATCTGAGCAGGGGCAATGCTGATGTGAAAGGGTTATGAGTGGATGAATGGGAAGACAGTTAATCCACTGCCCCATGGTCCACTTCCTCTGGAAGTCCTTTCCATGTTAGGGACTCTCAGGCCCTCTGGACCTCGCCTTCCACCTAGCCTTCCAGCTGCGGCCCCACCCTCCTCTAAAAGGATACGATGCTCTTGAACTGCAGATGTGGGAACTTTCTCTGCAGCTGGGCCGCTCTTCGCAGGGAGCTGGTTCCCACCACACTGCTCAAAGACAGGGTGGAAAGTGAGATGTAACCCCAGGCACTGTTCCTTTCCTCCTCCTCCTCCCCGTCCTCCAGCTTCTGTGCATATTCCACCAAGACGCCTAGCCAGGCCCCACTCACCTCTTCTCTGGCAAGGTCTCTAGGGTCTTCCCAACAAATTTTGGGTGAAAGACAACAGCATCATAGGGGTTCTCTCGCCTAGGGGGTGGAGGGAGGGTTGTAGAGTGAGAGGTCTCAGTTCAGGTCATATCCAGTCTCTCCTGATAGCCAACTAACTGGCATTTTCTGAGTTTTTCTGCCATGCTTACTACTCCTCAGGGCAGGGGAGCCAGCCCTAGAGGCAGAGGGCCAAGTCCCAAAGGGAAAAGCCAAGGTTAACTCACTGCCTATCCTGCCCCCTCCCCAGCCCAGGCCCAGACTCAGAGGGCACTTACTTGCAGACGGCTCCAATGGTGAAGCCTGGAGGAAGCACAGTGGGCAGGTCCTTCAGGGAGTGAACGACCAGGTCCACTCTAGAGAGATGGGATGGGGGCAGGAGAAGGGTCCAGGCAGCAGCTTCCACCTCTGCTCCATCCATCCCGCCTCTGCTTCAGTGGCCGAGCCAGGAGCAGTTCCAAAAGCAGGCCTCAGAGACCTCAGGACCCTGAGACCTTCTCCCTTTCTCCCCACTCTCCTCCTCTCCTCCCCCCTCCCCCATCAATCTTGCTGGGCTCAGAATCAGGACACTCTCCTTTTCTGATGCCTAAAAAACACACATATGACTCCCTCTTGAGCCTATCCAAGAGTCTAAGCCCAGCAGCCTAGCTGATACCCAGGTCTGCTGCACACAGAGGCTGGGAGGGCCCACACTCTCCTGTCTTTCACTTACTCATTCTTCTCTAACGCGTGCTCCAGCTCCTTGGTAAACAGGCTCTTCTCTCCAATCTGCCACACAAGAGCGAGAGAATGAATCTCTTGGGAGAAGGAAAGAGGAGGGGACAAGGGTTGGGGTGGGTGGGCATTATTACCTTAGAGAGTGCAGTATCAAGAATCTTGTCCCCTGTGGTGGACATAGCAACTGAGGAGAGAGTCAACCGGTCACACATTGATCAGTACTCATCGTGGCCCTACTAAAGCCAGCACTCTGCTAAGATTCAGGGTAGACACAGGGGCACATAAGCCCCAGCTCCAACCCTCCGGGAATGTACAATCTCTCAGGAAGATCAACACCCTCATAAAAAGACCCAAGCCCTAGCTGGTTTGGCTCAGTGGATAGAGCATCGGTCTGGGGACTGAAGGGTCCCAAGTTCGATTCCAGTCAAGGGCATGTACTTCGGTTGCAGGTTCCCCGGCTCTGGTTGGGGTGCATGCAGGAGGCAACCAATCGATGAGTCTCTCTCACATTGATATTTCTGTCTCTACCTCTCCCTTCCACTCTATCTGAAATCAATAGAAAAATACCCTTGGGTGAGGATTAACAAATATAAATAAATAAATAGGCTCAATGCAGAAGACATTAGATGCAGGCTAGCCCTGGGAGAGGGGTGAGGAGTCTTCCAAACTGGGAGTAGCCAAGATTTCTTGGTGGCAACAGGACCAGGCTGTGGTCCCAGGCAAAGCTGGAAACACTGTGCTCTCCCCTCCAGAGCAGGTGAGGGTTCCCATTACTTCCATTACTGTCCGGAAAACTCACCGATTTCAAACTGCAGGCCTGGGTTTAAGGTTTTCAGCATTGCCACCACGCTGTCCGTCTGTATGCGCGCCAGCTGGGGGCAGAAATTGGCATTAGTCCTGTCCTTCCCTGGCCACTGCCCTGAGCTCAGATGCTCACAGGGTCAAGACAATCCTGAAGGGATTGGAATTCAAAGAAGGTGTTGAATGCCCACCTTGGGAGGAGAGGGGTCTGGTTTGGGAGTCCTCTGCACCCCAACAACTTCCCCAGCCCAGGGACTCTCTCTCCACAGAATGCAATCTGCCATTGTGCATAAAATTCTAACACCCAGCTACCCCATTTCCTCCAGCCCTGAGTTGCTGGGCCCCCCAACTTATAATATTGTGCACACAGACTCTTCCCACAAACCTCCACCCAGTACCTGCACTCACCTGGCTCTTGCGGGTACCCACGCGAATCACTCTCATCTTTGGGCTGTTTTCTTCCTGCAAAAAAAAATTCCCAGGTCACAGTCCCTCTGTTCCTTGTGTTCCTCAACACCTTGTCCAAGAAACAGATCACTGGCTTGGAAGAAAGGAATCTCAGCCCCTGGCCAGCGGCCACCCAAGGCTGGTCCCTTTCCTGTCCTCGGTACCTTCTGCTCTCCTCACAGACCCAGAGAAGCAGAGACCAGAAGGAAACGACAGTAGGATCTGCTATTGCTGCACTAACCAGGACACTGAGCGCACAAGCCCATCCTGGCCACGGCAGTGGAGTGCTGCACAGAGCCAGGTGGGCAAAGAGATAAGGGCCATCAACGTGGCCACAGAGAGGGTGGGAACTGCGGCAGGAGGGGCAGGGCAGCTGGGGCCACACAGGCTGAGTCACTGAGGACAAGTTCAAGCATCCACAGCAGAACAGGCATTAAGGAAGCGTCAGTGCCACCTAGATCCAAGAGCTATCCAACAGCTGCCAAACTATGAACCCCCTAATCTGATCGAATGATTACCCAAGGGGCTGAGGTCAACAGATCTGATGTACAGTCCTGCTCAGCCTCTTGGCTGGGCGACCTTGGGCACATCACCCCTGCAGTACTTTCTTGTTCATCTATAAAATGAAGAGTGTTGGACCCAGGTATCATTTGCCTTTGATGTTCTATAAGACTGAGATACATTCACCTGGAGTGCTGCCTGTGGTTTCACCAACAAGGAAATATTGGGACATCAAACCAAGAACTCAACACACTCTCCTTCCAGGACAAAGGTGTTCGGTGCCAAGCAAGCAGAACTGGGTTCTTCAGCCTGAGATCTTATTTCTTTCTAGACCTGACAGTTGCCACTGTAGATACTTTCAACTTTCCCTGTTCTGGGATCTTTAGCCCAGGGAGCTGTTTCGCTAGGCGGCACCTGAGGAGTAGGTGACAACTAGTTGGTCTTGGACTGCAGTATATTCCATTCCTATCTCTTCTCTAAACAACAAACACTGGCCCGGCCGGCATGGCTCAGTGGTTGAACATCGACCTATGAAGCAGGTCATGGTTCAATTCCCCATCAGGGCACATGCCTGGGGTTTCAGGCTTGATCCCCAATTGGGGTTGTGCAGGAGGCAACTGATCAATGAATCTCTCATCATTGATGGTTCTCTCTCTCCCTCTCTGAAATCAATAAAAAAAACAAGACATTAAACAAACAAAAACCAACCCTGGGGGAGCCTGAGAAATTAGGCGAGGCTTGGAATGCTAAACATGGCCACTAATTCTGGGCCACAGGGAATCCACAGAAAGACATCTAAGGTCCCAGAACTGCGAGGTTCAGGCAATCCCTTAAGTTCATTGAGTCTGCACAACAGTCAGTTAAATGATTCCATCGGAACTGGTTTATTTAGCATGTATATGCTAGAGCTACCGCTTTTAATCTTCACGGCCACATATCAGGTGGACAGGGCGGACGTCTTTGGGACCATGTTGTAACAGCAAAACCAGGCTCCGAAGGGTGAAGTGACTTGTCCAGGGTCACACAGCTCCTAATGGGCAGAGGGCTGGAGCTGGAATCCAGACCTTTCTACTCCCAGTCCAGTGCTCAGGAATGTCTGCAGTGGCAAGGAATCCTCTACTCACTAGCAGGCTGGGCAGGGGCAGATAAGCAGCTGCCCATCTCTTTCTTATCTCAGGCTGGCAGCAGCCTCCAGCGGCTCTGCAGTTTGCATCTGCACCAGCCCAGAGCTCGCGCGGAGCAGCTGGGGATCGGGAGACAGGAGGGCGAGGGCGCTCCCCTCCCGCCCCCAGGGTAGTGACCCAGGGTGTGTTGCAGCTTTTTTTAAAAAATTGATCCCAGAGAGGAAGGGAGAGGAAGAGAGACAAACATCAATGATGAGAGAGAATCATTGATCGGCTGCCTCCTGCACAACCCACACTGGGGACTGAGCCCGCTACCCGGGCCTGTGCCCTGACCGCGAGTGGAACCGTGACCTCCTGGTTCAGAGGTCCACGCTCAACCCCTGAGCCACGCCGCCGGGCGCAGCTGGGGTTTGGGAAGAAGGCTGGGGCTGGGTGACTGGTGAGACGGAAAAAGGGAAGAAGGTGCTCTTCCTGGATGTGTGTGTGCAGTTCGGAGACTGGGGGGCGTGCTCTCCCCTCTGGATGCACGTGGAACATTTCCCAAGATGGCGGGACCTCACCGCGGCCCGGCCCTTGGGAAGGGATCCCGGGGAACGGCCCGTCTTCTCGGTCTGGGCGCTACTGCGGCGCACGAGCTTCCTCGGTCTGCGCCACCTGAACCTAGACCCGCCGGTGCCAGGCCTGGAGGACTCCCACCCAGACCCCGCAGGAGGGGACAACGCCTCCATTCTTAACCCCTTCCGCACCGCCCGCCACTTCCTCTCCTTCCACAGGGCGGCTCAGCGACTGGCCCTTTAACAGCTGTACGGGCGGGGCCGAGAGGGGGGAAGACGGACAGTAGTTCCGACCAATAGACGACACAGAGGGTGGTAACCCGAAGCCAATCACTGCATCCCTAGTCTGGACACCGAAGTCCCGAGGGTCACGGGTTCAGGACTCACCGCCGGCGCGGCCGCGTGGCTGGGGGCAGACATGGCAGTGCCCGGTCAGCAGGGCCTCCGCAGGGCTCCGAACTCGGGACGCCGGCGGCACCGGCTGGCGGGCACGGGCGCCACGGAGGGCCTGCGCTCCGTCCGCGGCGCCGACTTGGCCCGGCTACGTCACTACCGGCGCCCGCCCTCGGAGGGGCGGTGCCTGCCCTGGGCGGGAATTAGGATTGCGACAGAGACGGGGCCATTGCGGTGCCGCCCCTACTCGGTCCAGCTGAGGCCGACGGCGACTTCCTTGCCCGTCTTCCTGGTTTGAAACCCAGCCTCCCGCCTGCTCCTTTCTACCTCCACCTCCACAGTTCTGCGCGCAACGCTGATGGTCGGTGGCTGAGCCCAGATGAACCCCCTGCTCCCCTTTGCAGACCTTTTTATCCTGCTTATCCTCCGATACCGAGCACCTTCCGTGAAGGCAGACTTAGGCCCAAGGCTCTTATCAGAACCTGCTTCCCACATTAAGTATTTTGTCCAAAGAACCACAGAGCCAGCCAGACTACAGAGCAGAACTGTTTGGGGGGCCTCAGTCCTTGGAATTTTGCGGCGGCTCTTCAGTAAGCGGGACCCTACCAGATGCCACAGGCCCCGCCCATTCACGGAATGAAGCCAAACCAAGATCTTTAAGGCAGTGAAGGAAGTCTGTGAAGGAAGTGGGTCCTGGAGCTCTAGGAATGCAGAGGAAGACAAGCAATTCTACAGTAAAGAATCAGCAAGTCCCCAGAATAACTTTATCAACCCCGAAATCAGTTTTTAAAAAACATTTTTTAAATGCTTTTTTAGAGAGGGAGGGAAACAGTAATGAGAGCAACACTGATAGGCTGCCTCTTGCACGCCCCCTACTGGGGAATGAACCCAAAACCAGGCATGTGCCCTGACTGGGAATCAAACCAGCAACCTTTCTGTGTATGGGATGACACCCAACCGAGTCACACGGGCCAGGGCTGAAATCATTTATCTATAGACTCTGGGAGCAAGGACCCAAGCACAGACTGGTGCTCTTGGATGGAGAATAAAGCAGCTATTGCCTATACTTGGAGGTTGTTGAGGTGCCCTCCCCCAGGGTTTGAATAATCAATGCTGCTCAGAAAGTTAACAGGAAAAACAGTGGGCTGGCCAAAGAGGAGGCAGGAAAAAAAATCCCCTTCAGTCCTGAAGGCTATCACAGCAGAGGCCGGGACATGCCTGCCTGACTCCTGGGCATTAGCTCTGCCTCAGTCCTGTATTCCTGCTGCTGGGCCTCCATTATCACCCCGCTCTTGCCCCCAAGCTGTTCAAGTGCCCCTCCTGGAGTGCACCAGCAGGTCCCGCTGCAGCCCAGACTCCAAGCTTCCAGCCAGCCTGGCCGTGGGAGGGTCAGTGAGCAGGGTCAGTTTGTTGAAAACGCCTCGGCCGAAGTAGTCAGCGATGACCGAGAAGCTGTCGTTGGAGCACTTGAGCTGTGGGAAAGAAGAAGGAATCAGAACTGAAGTGCTCCTTTCCTCAAATGGGCTCCCCTGCAGTGCTCCCGACTCTACGAGTGGGTACTCATCTAGCCACTCTTTCCAACCTGGTGCTGGAACTGATCGTGGAGATCGCGTTTCTGTTCCTGGGCCCGGATCATATCCATGACCTTCCGGTTTTCAGGGAGGCAGGTGGGGCAGTCAGCATCACTTTCCGAGTAACTCTCAAAGCAGTGTTGGTGGAAAGAGTGTCCACAGAGAAAGTGGACTGAGGGCAATTCCAAGGCACTGTTACAGATGCTGCACTTGGTCTTCTGGAAAATCTTCGGACTACAGGCAAGGGAGACCAGAAAGGAGTGGCAGACAGTGAGGGCAGGGCCCACAGCCAAGCTGAGAGAGAAGGCAGCTGGAGTCACTAAGGAGAGATCCAGGCCCTGCTCTCCTTACCACCGTATGAAGGTCAGAAGACAGCAGTGCTGGGCCTGCAGTGCCTCAGCATGTTCCAGGAAGCCCAACCACTCAAGGGATACTTTTCTCTTTCAGCCTCACAATTGCCACAAAACTGTTTTCAGGTCTTTACTCAGATGTGGCCTTTTCAGAGAGGCCTTTCCCAAACACCTTAGAAATTCTCACACACACACTCCTCACCCTACTTCCTTTCCTCAATTTTCTTCTTTGAACTTAACACCATCTAACATACTATAACATTTTGCTTATTTAATATGATAACTGTCTGTCTCTACCTCTACAATGTAAGCTCCACTGTGCTGCTAACAGTACTTGGGCCTGGCCAGCATGGCTCAGTGGTTGAGCATCTCTCTCTCTCCATCTCCCTCTCTGAAATCAATTAAAAATATACATATATTAAAAAAAAAAAAAAGAACAGTACTTGGAACATAATAGGGGCTCAGTAAATATTTGTGGGATTGTTCTCTAATAAACATTTTACAATATTAAGGGCAAATAATATTTAAAGAGTTAGCATTAATGTCTACTATACATACATATAATCACTTTTGTTTTTCTTTTAAAAAATATGTTCTTATTTACTTCAGAGAGAGGAAGGGAGAGGGAGAGAGTTAGAAACATCAATGAGAGAAAAACATTGATCGGCTGCCTCCTGCACACCCCCTACTGGGAGTTGAGCCTGCAACGAGGCATGTGCCCTGACCGGGCAACCTCCTGGTCCATAGGATGATGCTCAACCAACTGAGCCACACTGGCCAGGCCACTTTTTGTATTTTTTTAAAAATATATGTTTTAATTGATGTTTTTACAGAGAGAAAGGGAGAGGGCTAGAGAGTTAGAAACATCGATGAGAGCGAAACACCAATCAGCTGCCTCCTGCACACGCCCTACTGGGGATGTGCCCGCAACCAAGGTACATGCCCTTGACCGGAATCGAACCTGGGACCCTTCAGTCCGCAGGCCGACACTCTATCCACTGAGCCAAACCAGTTAGGGCTTTGTATTTTCTAAAGCAAAGTTTTTACTTCTGACTGGCTTCTAACTACACAACTTAGATGTGTGTTTAGAAAATGTAAAATATAGAGAAGCAAATACAGAACGAAAAGTACCTATACTAGATAATATCCTCCAAAGCGCGATAAATAACGATCTTTTTTGGAATTCCTCCAATAAAATATCTTCAAGCATGAAATGCTCAAACACACTCCGTATAATCTTTTGTCTTTGAAAGCATTTAATGACACCCTGTGAAGGACAAGGTTATCCCCTGGACCCCTCCACCTGTCCAGATGCCAGTACCTCGCCTTGAGCTCCTGGATCTCCTGGCGGATGCGGGTGGTCTCCTCTCGGTACCGCCGCACCCGGAGCTCGTCCTGTGCAATCTGCTGGCTCTGTTTCTGCAGTTTCTGGACCAGGTAGTCCCGGATGACAGATAGGGTGGCGGTGGAGTTGTGGGCCAGGGTCTGCACCACTGAGATTGGGGTCCAGGAGGAAACAATGAACCGAGCAGTACCCACTGGACAGGGTTGAAGTGCTCCTGCCCCAGTGCCCCTGATTTTCAGCAGTTGGCACCTACCCACCCACCCTGTCCTCCCGAGTACCTAGAAGTGGTGGCATGAGGTTCTTGTTCTCAATATGCTTGAGCACAGCTGCCACGTACTCCTTGCAGTCCTCCTCCTTGCGGGCAAAGTAGCTGAGCGCCTGTTCCCACAGAGAGGGCTCCTGCTCCCCATGGCGCTCGCACACCTCGATCACCTGCCGGTACTGCTCATGCTGCATGTAGTAGTGCATCATCTGCTGATACCTATGCGAGGTCAGGCACACCTCAGGGGCTGTCCCTGGAAAATTACTTGGACCCTTCCCGCTTCCCTGACATTCCCCAAACTTACAGCTTCCCCTGCTCGTAGAGGTGCAGGACCCCATCCTGGAAGTCGTGCATCTGGCATAGGACCAGGGCCTTGTCAAAGACGTCGCAGAAGCGGCCACTCTTCAGGAGGGAGATCGCCTCTGCGTGCAGCTTCTCTTTGACCTGGGGCAGGAGAGAGGAGAGCTGCTGGACGTAAGGAAAAAAATCACAAGGCCTCTTGGGGGAAGGCAAGTCAACTATCTCTTCTCCTCAGTCCAATCTCCTTCTTACTGAGGCCCATTTACCCACCAATGGTGAGGTGTTATTGGTCTATAGAAGGCAGCCAAAGCAACCACGAAAGATGGAAGAATTGTCTTTTCTCCAGTACCTCCTGCAGTTTTTACCAGGCCTCACCTGTGGATCCTTCTCATGGGCCCAGTTCTGTAGTCGTAGTTCAAGGAGCGTGTCGTAGATGCCCTGTGGTGAGTCGGGCTGTACTGCACTCATGTGCTCTAGGAAAGCTTTCAACTCTCGTGGGTTGTTGGCAAAGATGGGGATGAACTCCTCTGAGTTGGCCTAAGATGGCAATGGAGGAGAGAGGAGGCGGAGTGAGTGAGCTTGGTACCTAAGATGCCCCAAAGGTGATCCCTGCTGTCCAACAGCCATTCTCCCAGGGCCTCACCCTGCGGCCTGGTGACTCCCTGTCACCTTGACCTTCAAAGCTGGGCCGATAGTTGGTACAAAGTCCCTTCAGCAACTGGGTCATCTGCTCTGGTATGTGGTGCATGAGGATCTTGCCATAGCGCTTCATGTTGCTCTCTGCCTGCTCAAAAGGCAGCTTGCCAATGTACCTAAGGGCTTCCTGGTAGTTCTGTGGAGATGTAAAGGGCAGAGTAAGGGCATGT